TACCGCGAGGACGAAGTTTACGCCTTCTTTAGCCCGCACAGGTGTGTCCATAGTGAGCTACTTAGCACATACTGACGTCAATAATAAGTTGAAACCCTGCCCAAGCATGGGAGTTGGAGCGAGAGCACATTACACATTACTCACCACCTAGCAGTGACAACTAAATTTTTGAAAGGTACATACCCAATTCCAGCCGTAGAATTCGTTTATTTGAAAAGTAGATCTCCCATTTCAGCCGTAGAACTCGTATATTTATAAGATACATACTCCATTTCAGCCACAGGATCATCAAGTATACGATTGACAAATTCAAATTTGCGCGGGGAAAACAGCGCATTCATAATCATCAGATTCAACGAAGTTTCCTTCCCCATTTCAGCCGTGGATTACCTAGCAGTGTCAGCCAAATACTAGAAAGGCACATACCCCATTTCAGCCGTGGATTACCTAGCAGTGTCAGGCAAATACTAGAAGGCACATACCCCATTTCAGCCGTAGAGGGCTATATGAGGCATTCGTAAGCATCAGATTCAACAATCGTTCATTTCCCCATTTCAGCCGTTGATTACCTCGCAGGGAGAGCCAAATTCCAGATACGTACGTAATCCATTTCGGCGGTAGATTCGTCTAACCTACGGTCGTCAAGTCGTGCGCATACGATAGTGACAATTTGAAATTTGCACCAACGGGCCTACCGTCTTCACCCGAATAGAACGCCCGGTCATTATAGCCGTATTTGGTGCAACTTTCAGTCTACATACCGCGATAATGACCGAGCGTTCTATACGGGTGAAGAGGGTAGCTCAGTTGGCAAACTTATGAACTCGATATACAGACCCAACTTCGAATCCAGACACTGTGAGATGAAAAAAGAATAAAACCATTGTGAATTACCTGGGGGGGCCGGTCAGTTCAATGATCATACCTCAAGGCCGTCGCCCTTTATAAAAAAAAAAGAGGGGGGAGAAAGGAGAAAGAAGAAAAAGAAAAGGAAGATTTGCGGAGCGGGAGGAGGAGGGCCGTCTTAGGGCTCGCTCACACTAGGTACCCAAATTCCCAAAAAATGGGAAAGTGGGAACGGCCGTTTTGAGGAAATACGGCCCTGGCCGGTCACACTGTGTTCCCAACACGCTAACGACAAGGTCGCTACATCGCACTCTGCGAGGTGCTTGTGGAGGGCGCCGGTCACACGGTGG